TTCCGAGTTCTTTGTCATGTGTCAAAACACTGTGCACTCAGCTTTGAACCTGTTGGTCAATTCAGTTCTGCCATTGGTTGGTGTGTTCACAGCTTTTGACAGGAAAGTTTCACTCGGGGACTTACAGAACTTCCTTCCTGCGAGATTTCAGGGCACAGCAAGTACCGTGAGAGGAAACGGCTTTATGGATCATAAAAATACAGCGTAATGCCGAAGCTTGTCCTTCGCTCACTTGACTGGAAAATTATGTTGTGGAAACTAAACATGAGTGAACTCCTAATGCTGATTTTCAAAAATTCGATTTTAAAAGAAATATAACGGGAAGAATGAGAATTATTTTCCTGATGGAGAAGTAGGCAGTGCATAATGACAGTAATGACTGACGGTTGATCCCCACATACCTTTTCTCCAGCCCCCCACGATCCCCAAAGGGTCGCCATCATTTCCATTTTAGAGATGAAGAAAACAAAACTGAAAGGGTTGGAGTGACCCCCGCAAAGCCAGGGATTCCAGAATTTTCTATTTGCAAGTCCCACGTGGGGAGGCTCCCCGAACATAATCAGTAAACGCCGAGCTTGGGCAAATGTGACTCTTAGAACCGCCTTAGAAAAGCGGTAGCTCTGCGCTGTGTTCCCAGGGAGCTTCTGGGGGACCCGCGGCTTAAGGAAGGGGCAGCAGCTTTCCCACGCTCTTGGGCAGTCGCCTGACTTCCGGATGCCACTGCAGTCAGTCGCTAGGACACGCACATCCTTAAAAGGAACGTACTGGATTACCTGGGGGCGGGAAGCTCAGGGGTGGGTCGCGATCGATCCAGGGCGAGCCAGAAGCTGCTGGCATGCCTTCCCCGCTTACGCCCCATAATCATCTCTCGTCAGAATGGGACTGGAACCTGTTCCCCTGGTCCCCTCCCGTTGCCATACTCGAAGTGCAAGTGGGTGTCATCGCCAACTGGAGAAGCCCGGAGGTGGGCGCGATGTCCCCGGTGGTCATCCTGTGTGCTGTGACTCCACTCAGCAAAGGCCCCAGCCATCTCCTCGCCGCCCGTCCATTCAAGCCATTCGCTCTAAGGGACGTCACCTGGGGAAAGCTGGCCCCTCTGTGGCCTCTTACCCCGCGAGTCCTCCAGCGTCTCCTGTCACCACGTCTAGTCTTCTGATGGGGCACGAGGACAGTTAGATATTTAAAATCGGGTCATCGTGGCTCAGTATTTTAAATCTGTGGCAAGCCCTCATGTTTTCTTCGGTTTACTTTAAATGATTTATGTTCCTGAATTTCGCCCAAAGGCAATTTTGCCACGAAGAGTTAAGTTTTTTACAGTTAAAACACACACACACACACACACACACACACACACCACACACACCCCCATGGTGAGCAGGCTTGCTACGGCTTTTGAGCTTGCGAATAAATGACCTATTTTGGGGAGGATGGCAAATGGTACCAGTGAGGACGGGGACGATAGTGAAGCATTGTCCACGTTCTCGTCTGAAAGGGAAGCTAGGGCACACTGCCAGCTCACCTACCCCACGTGCACCACATCCTCATCTCAGTGACACCAGGCAATGCTGCCCGCTCCCACGGCGAGCTAATCGATAATGCCAGCGCATGTCGCTACCTATGTTACACGTCTGCAGAGGGGTCTTGCACAAGCCCGGGTCAAATGCAGTAACGTGAAGTCTAAGCAGTGGGGTGGTGGGGGCGGTGGTGCAGAGTTATGCTCGGCTGGTAAATGCAAGCCCCAGAGAAACGCGCCTGGGCATCTAGATGGTACCGAGCGTCAGAAAGAGCTGGCATGGGGCATGGGGCATGGGGCAGTTGTCCATGATCTGAATAGCCAAGCCTTTTAAAAAGCTGATAACTGTTTGTACACTGCAGCTTTGAGTCTGGGGCTCTTTATTTAAGGAAAAATCCCAGATCATATGGTATCTTTTTTTTTTTTTTCCTGGCATGGGTTACGTTGAGGGATGTCAGTGCAAGGCTTCGCCACCCGTTTGGGGGGACTTGGTGACAATGGGCATTCTAGTTAAATCTGTCTATTGGAAAATTTTGGGTGACTGCTCAGCCCAGCACGGTCCTATCAGGACATGTGGCACCCAGATTCCTCCTCCCCTGTCTCTTTTCATTCACAGATGTTTAGAGAATTCTCATTAAAATTGCGTAGAGTGAAACAGGGAACATGCTATAAAATAAATCTAGTTAAACACGCTTCGTCGTATTGCCTCATTTGTGTGATGCATGGACCTCATTTTCCTCTTTGTGTCTTCCCTACGCACATTAGGTGACGCTTGCCAATTAATGCGGGGTGTCACATCCCCAATTGCTTTCTCTATCTTCTTAAACATTGAAAATAAATACATGCCATCTGTCTCATATCTTGAAAGCCATTCAAAATGGTTACTTTGTTTGGTCAGGATTACTGCACAGTTTACAGCTTTAGTGCTTCTGAATTGTAAGAAAGTTCTGTCTCCGTTTCATAAATGTAACTTTGTTTCAAGGTGAATCCAACAGAAGAAGCAGAGGTTCTCATGGGAATTTGAGCAAGACAGAGAGCAGTGTTGGGTGTGTTGGGTGGTGATTAAAAGCTCGGTCTTTCCTTCCATATTTGAGAGCCCTAGACTGGATACTTACTTAGTCGGTGGCTTCCTAGCTGAGTGGTCTAGGGCAATGGTCTCCAACCTTTTTGGCACCAGGGGCCGGTGCTCTTATGAGAATCTAGTGCCTGATGATCCGAGGTGGAGCTGAGGTGGTGATGCTGGTGCTGGGGAGCGGCTGCAAATACAGATGAAGCTTCTTTGCTCACTGCCCAGCACTCCTGATAGGCCACAGACTTGTACTGGTCTGTGGCAAGCCCTCAAGGCCCGGGGCTTGGGGACCCCTGTTCCAGGAAAAGCAGTTTAACTTCCTGAAGCCTCAGTATTCCTCATCTGTGAAACAGGGTATTGCCTACAGTCCCCCCCCCACACACACACATACATACACACAATTCCTGGTTAAGGTACAAGTAGTAGGTACCATCTTCGTCATCACCCAGTTTGGAGAGAGGAATATTCAGTCGGGGAAGGAAAGCTGTTAAAAAACAGCTCATGGTGGCGTAAGGTTAAAATCTAAGAAAGCTATGTTCTCTCTCCATAGCAACCACAACACAAAGGTAAACAGGGCCCCAGGCCCCCCACCATGTTGGAGCGCACAGGTGTGTGAGGCCAGCAGCCAGCTGGGGCATCTGAGAGCCTCGGGTCCAGCAGTGGCTCCCATGGCCCTTTTCAAAGAAGTTGTTTGTTTTTGAAGTAAAAAGTGGCATGCTACAACGCACCAAGAGCCCGAATAACTTAACTATAATTAGCGGGGCGAAGGGCGGCCGGCGGCGTGGGCTGCTCTCCGCTCTGAGCCAGAGCAGCCTCCTCCACGGCGCCTTCTCCTGCGGCACAGACCAAGCTTCCTAGCCCTGAGCCCAGCACCCCGTCGACGAGGAACCTGGGACCCGACGTCCATCCTGTCCTCACAGACCACAGGGAGGCAGTGCCGTGCAACATGCCGGACACACGCAACTCAGCCCAGAACGCCGCCACGGGCGGGAAACGGAGGCCCAGCGGGGCCCAGCGGGTCAGCCGAGCGCCCATGGCCGTCGGAACCGGCACATTCCCTTTCAGCTGGGTTTCAGAGTCGACACAGCGGACCGGAATTTTCGTGCGCCTGTAAATATGCCGTTTCACAGCGGCTCCTTTGCCCAGCGCCCTCCCGCAGACAGCAGGCCCGGCTGTCCCGCACAGCCCGCACCCGGCGAGGTGGCCGTCCTCCCCGGCGGCCGGGCATGGTGATCCAGCCTTCACTCAGCCACTCAGCCATCAGGTCAGGCCGCTCCGACGGTTACTCATCTCACCCTGCGCTTGTGGACACAACACACCCCGGACATGGCTCATCCTGGCCCACATTTCCCCTGCTCCCTGCTCCCGCCCACACTGCCTCGCCTCCCCCGTGGCTGATGTTTTTGCTGCAGTTCTAGAAAGAAAATTATCTAACATCCCTAATCTGGGGGTGCGTTTAAAATTCCCCTCCCTAATTATAAAATGAAAAGCGACAGGTGTGAGCTGTACACATCTAGCGAAACGAAGGCATGCCACGAAGAGAAGTCACGGGCACTTGAAGTGACTGAAGTTCAAGAACCTCCTCGCAGCTCAACAGAGCGGCCTCTAGGAGGGCTCCCGGGGAGACTTCCAGTCCTCTCGCCCCTCGTAGGAAGCCCACGTGGATTGTACCCTGTCACCACCGATTAGCTTAGTGTGGCCCGAAATGGCCTTGCTGATGAACCCATTTCTATGAAATACATAATAAAACTGAGACCGAGATCCAACACGACTCACACGAAACCCTCCTAAAAAACCCAGCATGGACGGTTTGTTTTCAAACTCTACATTGGACCTACTCCATTGGCCTTAAAAATAAAAGCTATAAAATCGCGTGGTGAGGATGTAAACAGTCTCTTACTTTCTGCCCGGTTTCACTGAGCTAAGCGGTGAAGGCCACGGGGAAGGCTTTCGGGCCTGCCGTCCTTCTGTCATTTTCGCCTCCCTCGGTGACATCTCTGCCAGGCGTCTGGGGCCAGGACCGAGGCAGGGCTGCAGGGGCACGGGGGGGAATGGGGGCATCGAGTCTGGCATTGTGCGGAGGGCTCGGCGGTACAGTCCCCTGCCCGGAGTGACAGGAAGATAAAACACAGCAAGTGTTCTCCTGCTGTGTCCCAAAGCCTGGCAGTTGCTTTCGGGTCCCCAGAGAAGGGGACTCAGTGCATTTCAGGGGGAAATGTTGGGCTCCTCTTTGCACACTTGCTCCTAGGACAGGCTGTGAAGCTGAGGGGAAGGGACGAGGCACGCAAGTGGCTCTCTGGCTGCACAGGGCGATTTGTCAAGGAAAGGCCAGGGTGATTAATCGGGCAGGAATCTGTTTACACCCCATGCCCCACCCCCCAGTGCCAAAACAACAACAACAAAAAACCAGAGTCAAGATGCTGATAAGAATTCTTTTATGTTATTCCAATAAAAAATACATTCATACAGAAATATAACAATCTTGCAAAAAACAATTTCAAATAAAATCTTGTAAAACAAAATTTTACAAAAATCTTACAAAGATTCTTTAGATAATAGGGTGCTTCAAAAAAAAAAGAAATTTCACTAATAGAAACTTTTTTTTAATGTCAAGCAAAAAGTTTCTGCTTGATTGAGGCTCAGTTATCACCTGAACAGAATGTAATTCTTTATGTACTTGCTTATTATGAAAATTACAGGCATCGACATACATGGTACCCAGCCCCACCCAATCAGACAGCTCCATGGTGTTTCAGAAGTGAGACAAGCCAGTGCAAGTTTTTTTTTTTTTTTTTTCCTTTGTCTTTTGTTTACCTTCTTGCTCAATGGAATTGTCATGGCTAAGCGCACAGCAGGGCCAAAAAAGGAGTTTTCCAAAATCCAGCAAATCAAGAGCCTGGATTTTGAATTGCCGAAAGTGCATTTTCCCCCTTAGCGAAATGAAATGAGTTCTTTAGGTAAGTGTATTCATCAGCCCAGATAAAAAAACCAGTTATGCGAGCTCTCCTCATTGCTCGTTTCCAGGAAGATCAAACAAAATACCAGCCCAGCCAGATTCGTATGTGTATATATATGTGTGTATATATATATAAAGAAAAGACCCACACCCACAAGCCAGCAGCTGGATGAAATGTCAGCTGTCCACACTGCAGTGTGCCAATTCGGGGTAATTACTTGTTGGAAAAACGGGAAGAATCTATGTGCTGGAAAAAATATCTTCATCTGCATAAAAAGCGTTCTAAAGAGAATCCCTGTGATTCGCTGACTTCTAATAAGGCCGAAATTCCAAATCACAACCTCAGGGTGTCTGAGGCTAACCAGTGGGCTAGTATTCTGTCCATGCCACTCCTGAATGGCCAGTGGTGCCCCGGTTCCAGGCCTGCTCAAAACAATATGCAGAGTCAGAGGTCTGGAACAGAGTCCACGCCAAGAGTCCATAGCAAATCATTAAATTAAAGATAAAAAGCCTTTATAAAAGTTAGATAATAGTTTTCATTTTTACCTCCTTTATGGCCATTTTGAAATATTTCTTCACAGGCTGTGGAATTTTCTAGCTAAACATCTAATTTCTCCTTAAAAAAATATTTATATATATATTATATATATATATATACACACACACACACACACACTCACACACATACACTTACTATACACACAAATACACATACACAAGAATTCTGCCCACTTTTTAAAAAAGTAATATACTTTCTGTATTACCAACAGATAGCTAGATAGATATGTGAAACTCGTGCCTTTTAAGCAAATACATTAACATGGTTTTTATAGTTCTGTATCTTTAATATGTGTGCAAACATTACATATTAAACACAGCCGGTGTGTGAGCTATACAGTTGTTGTGCAAGGTCTATGCGAAGTCTCATGGTCGCTGAAACGGTCAGATTTTCCAATTATCGTGTGTTTTCCACTTTAACACTGACAGTCAAGTTATCTAAAATATTGAGTGAATACTGATTTGTTTGGGAAGTTTTCATCTCTCTATTTGTCTTTGTGAAGGATGACCTCAACGAGTTTTGTTTTTTTTTCTTTCTTTCAGTATTTTACATTGATACAGTACTCTGCCAGGTGAAAAAAGAGCCTTAATAAAGCATGCATCACCCATACCCCTGTTTGAGACCCCCGACATAAGGGGCCACTTGCATAAGGCACCATTATTAAAATCTACAGTGCATTAACAGCTAGAAAACCAGAAATTAGTCCTCAAGGCATAAATAAGAGAAACTTAGCTGCATAAGAAAACAGTTTCTAAGCTTTAGTGGTTTCATCCACCCAACCGAGAAAAGTTGTGGGTTCTCAGTCTAACGCGACGTGAGACCAGCCGTCCCCAGCCCTCGCGTTCTCGGCACCCGGCGTGGGACCAGAGTCTCAAATGGCCTCACGACATGCTCCAAAAAGGTCATTCGAATTCAGAGTCATTAAAAGAATAACCCCGTGCTGCACACTGCCTTTCTGGATGGGGCGTGTCAGAGATCGAAGCGGGGAGAAGGGCTATGGATCGCCGGGCCCAGATGGCGAGGGGGTCACACGATGCCACACGTGGCACGTTAGCTGCTCAGTGACCGGGATCCAAGCTGTGGTCCTGATTTAAAAATGGAAGAGCACGAAGCTCCCCAGAACGCGCGTTGCTTCTGTCTTGGAAGGAAGCTGACCCCTGTGTCCTGTCTGTGAGCGCACTGCTTACACGACGGGCAACAAACGAGCTCCGCGTAGCCGCGGACAAGCTGCCGGACACTCTGCGCCAGACGCGGGAGCCCCTCGTGCCTGAGAGGGCGCCCCCTCCCCACGCCCGCTCACGGGCAGGGCCCTGACCCCCATCCCACCCTCCACGGTTTCCCTTCTTTTTTGATTTTTTTTTTTTCCTAAGGCGCAGACACCCCCCACCCCGAACCCCGGGAAATGATCGGTGGTCGTCGCATCTCGTGGATTACCGGTCACACGCAAAACATTCAGACTCCATGTTTTCTGTCTCTTGCAGCCGCACGGGAAGCAGCGCCTCGTCACACAGTCCGTCACAGACCCCCACACACAGCCAACCCAACCACTGACATTCTCAGCGCACATGCTCACGGCAGAGGCGTAGGGACCACTCAGGGTAGGTACCGGTGGCTAGTCCAGGGCCACCCAAACACCGCACACCACGGCCGCTCCGCCGCTCACACGTGACGGTTCCGCCCTCGAAAGACCTTCCCAGGAGAGGTCCTGGAGGCTGCTGGGTGGGGCGCAAAGGGGCCGCTCCGCCGGACACACCCCCTTCCACGCCGGCAGGCCGCCTGGAAGCCGCTTTAGCCGCAGGGTCCGCGGTCTGCTCCCTCACAGGTGCCTCTTCATGTGCAGAGCCAGGTGGTCGGACCTGGAGAAACACCTGCGGAGCGAATGGGCGCCAGAGGGTCAGGCCCGGCCTGGCTGGAGGGGCCCTCCCGCCCGCACGCCCCGCCGGAAGGACACGGGCAGCGCTGTCACCCCGCTCACTTCGGGGGCCCGGGGAGTGCACCCGGCAGCAACGTGAATTAAGGAGGTCTGCTCTGGGCTCCGTGGAGCCTCTGCCCTCGCCTTCCTGCCCCGTCTTCCAGTTCAAAAACCGCTGAAGGCTGAGCTTGGGAAAGTAGGAACCAGGTCTCTTCTGTTCCACCACACGGGACACACAGTTCCCTAAGTGGGGCGACTTAAGCCCCAGGCTATAAAGAGGCCGTGGGGGACAGGAGAGCATCTGCCCCGCTGCAGGCTTCCTGCTCTGCTCCGCTGTGGGGACACCACTCCTGCGCCCGGCGCGTGGACCACGTACCTGTCACAGTGAGAGCATTTAAAGGGCTTGGCACCAGTGTGCTTTCTGAAGTGTCTGGTTAACTCATCGCTTCTCGCAAAACGCCACTCACACCCTTCCCATGAGCATCGGTAAGGCTTTTCTCCTGGGAAGAAAGCACACGACAAGCACACCGTGACTCCATGGGGCAGGAAGGAAAGGCGCCCGCATCCACCACTCTGGCGACGGTCGACCCACCAGCCAGCTCTGGCCCGGGGCCTCAGGATACCCTAGTGCACCTCAGCTAGGGTCAGCAGCTGGGGCTCGGAGGTGACACCCAGGGGCTCTTTCCTGACCCAGCCTTGGGCCTCCGAAGGCTGTGGAAGGGACCCAGCGGCCACGTGGCTGTAACCAGGGACCACGTTGGGAGGATGATGACTCAGACTGAAGGGACACTCGGAGGAGGGGTGTCAGCCCACTGCACCCACCGCCCCTCGAGGGCGAGGCTGCAAGGCTTTCTCTGTGAAGTGGTCTCTCTCCAGCACTCACTTCCCCGGGGGGCGTGCTTGGCCGTTTCCTCCGAGAAACGACGTTTCCCCAGAACTGAAGTCAGGAGTTTCTGGGAAACCCCGTGCAGGACCTTCAAAGAACTTTCTAGATGGCGATTGAATAACCAAGTCCACTCTGTTCCTCGGTCAGATTATGAATACAGTAAATTCAGTAAAAGGGCTACCCGAGGGTGGCAAACAACTGGCCGAGGCAATCCTAGAACTTTCTGTTGGCACAGACAGGGACCTGGTCCCCGCTCCACCGTGAGCACCTGGGGGACCCTGACGGAGGGCTGAGCCACCTCCTCTCGCTACTGGGAAGATGAGAGTTTGAATGGCTTGGGCTCTAAAATCCTTCTGGCTCTATAATTTCTGTGACTCATCGCTAGCTAATTTCTCTAGACTATCACGCTCATTCTAAATGACACTTTCACCTGGGCTGCGGTATGTCACTGAGAATTCGGGCTTTGTTTGTCTGTCTGTCGACGGTGTTTGGACACTGGTGTCAGAACACAAAGGCAGCGTGACGCACACACAGATCCCGCTAGGCGCCTGCCAGTCCACGCCGCTTCCCGTGGTGTCTACGTTCAGGCGCCGTGCTCACGGCGCCAGCTCCGCGCTACCCAGCCACCCGCCGCCCTGATGCTCGAGGCTCATTGAAAGGAGGAGAGGCAATTCCACGCACTCTGACAGCCGGGGTGGCCGGAGGGGG